TCCCCAGGCCCAATGCATGCCAGGATCGCCCGACCTCTTCGCTACCAATACCTGGTGCCATCAACTTTACATATACCTTCCACGCTGTGCATGCCGCCGCCACCCCACCCACCCACTCACCCGCTCTATTCACAATGAACCTCGCCTCTTCGCATCACAGCAAGAAGCAATCAACATGTCTGCTATAACCCAGCGGTGACCTGCGAAGTAAGTCTCCCTCTCCCTTTTGAATACTCCAATATACCAGCCTCTGTCACTCTTTGGAACCCGCAATCGTGACTATACCGTGGATGATGGACGCGACAGTAGTGCCACGACCAAACCACGTTTCTTTGGTTCTCCGACTGCTTCAACCAAGTCACCGACAGGACACGATGCTCGAAAAATATTCGACACTGAAAATATTCGGTCGGGCCTTGCTAACTAAATAAAAGGCTGTTCGCTCCGTTGCTTCTGCCATCCTCCCTCCTTTCTTGTCTTCGCCCACAGTCAACAGCCTTTCGTAACGTTCCCACAAACCCAGTTCTGCACAGAGTCTCCCAACACTGTGTGATCAAAATCCCTGTGGAGGTACATATATCACACTGTTCTTGATTACCGCACGCCTTAAATCATCCACAGGCGCATTTCGCAGTCAGACTCAAGCTGCCGCACTTGGAACCAAATACGCTTGGCTGTCGAGGTCAGAAACTACGGTTGCACAATCTACAATGTCTGTCACAAACACCAGCATTACCGTCCCCGCTGGCCAGGGTCAGAACGATGTCCAGACCATGTTCAAGAAGATTCGCGACTTCGTCCACAGTCTGGGCCTTCCCATCAGCGATGGTCTCACCCAACATGCCGCCGAGGTCAACCACGAGGACCTGGACCACGACCATGAGTGCTCGAGTTCTTGCAGGCCTAGCTCACGCGGCACCGTCACTCCCGCTCACTCCATCCGTTCTGCATCAGAACGTCTCCACTCTCTTATCCCGCCCAGCAACTATGGCGCCGTAGTACCAGGCATGATTTACCGCAGCAGCTACCCCGAGGAAAAGAACTACGAATTCCTAAAGGACCTGAAGATCAAGAGTATCATCACTCTTGTCCCCGAGCCACTCTCTCCTGAGTACAAGGATTTCATGGAGGAGGCTGGCATTCAGCATTTCCATGTTCACATCCGCGCCAATAAGGGCGAAGTCCGCGTGGAATCATGCGACATGTCCCGTGCGCTTCGTTTGATCATGGATCGCACCAACCACCCCATCCTCATCCACTGCAACAAAGGCAAGCACCGCACTGGATGCACCGTTGCTGTCCTTCGCCGTATCTTCGGTAAAATGAGCCTGGATGCCATCCGCGAGGAGTATCATACCTATGCTGGCGTCAAAGCTCGCTTCTTGGACGAGGTCTTCTTTGAAACCTTTGACCTCAATCTGGTCATGTGGATGGCTCGACAGGAGGGCTGGGTCGCGCCCGCGCCCACCATCGCACCGCCTTCGCCCCCAGAATCTCTCTCCTCCAAGGTCGACGCAAAAGTCTTGGCCTAAGTCTATTTCCTTTGTTCACAAACGCATCCTCTAGGCGTTTCGGAAGTGCTCTGAGACAAAGCCTGCGGACAGCGGACCTGGATAGTCATCCTCTTTTCTTAGCTTGCATTGTTATGGCGCTTGGGGGAAAAGGCATCGCCCCATGGATGCATCGTTCGGGTTCTTGGCGTTTCGACTATACTGATAGCAAATCACGTGTAACACTGTACTGGGCACTTCATTGAGCACCCAGTATTTCTTTTTTTGTCGACTTTTCCTTTGTGTGTAGGGTCCCATTGTTTGCATATTCTTTGGCTACAGCTCTGGGTTGAACTAGCTAGACTACAAGACTTTTGGGTTGGCAGGCAAATCGGGCGCGTCTCTCCTATCGTACCTTGTGTACTCTGTCTGCGTCACTCGGTTCATAGTCTAATGGAATCTGATTTCTACAGAACTTTGCGCTCTTTACTCGTGTGAAGATGTGAGGCTGTACTGCTGGACGTTGTGTGATTAGCTCATGACTGGGTAAATTAATTCACACGTCGCAGATGTATGATAAATCTAACATGGTACACTGTGAATAGCCCAAACACTGAATCATTACGGAAAGTTGGTTCAATTCGATTCGCGAAGATTGTTGTTTTTCAAACAGTTTGTATTTCGATTCGATAAAACAGTATACAAAAAACAATGAATGGGTATCATCATAACATCATCAAACATCAACACCATACCACCTCCCACCCACCTCCCACCCACCAAACCCTCACCCCCCATCAACCTGCCTCACCGCTCTCCTAGGCCACTCCACAAACCCCCTCAACTCCTCCCCCACTACTACTAAGCGCTCAATGCTTAGAGAATACTTTAGGATCAAAGAAAGAACGTGGGGCAATGAATGCATGGGCGGCTAGATTTAGCGCTATCAGGTGGTCTTGGCAGTGTCTGTGA